TACAATCCACATCTTAGACTTTTTAATTAACGTCAAATCGTGACGATGTACTCCTCGTGAGACTGGAAACAATAATCTCAGTACAGAGTACTAAAAAAACCGACCTCAAAAGTACGTGGAATTACGTCTATTTGCTAAGTTTTATTGAAATATCCCTAGTTCGCCACTATACAGGACTTGACATGGAGATAATAAAAATAGGTTCTCACTACTACACTACTCACCGTATGTTCAGAGAAAAACGCATTGAATTGGAGAAATAGCAAAACCTACCATTAAAGTAATTGCTCCTAAATTACTGTTAGGCGCTGTTTATGAAAATGAACCTTCATGCGTGAACAGCCACCCTTCGAGGTGGATGATTTTCTTGAAAATTAAATGGGACCACTATGGAAGTACCCCCTTTCCAACAAAAAAAGAATCATGAAAATCGGTGCACAAATACTGGAGTTATCGCGTAACGTAATCTCGGTATCGGAAAAATGATTAAGTGCGAAATGAATAAAAGTTATTTTGTTTAGCACTACACATACAAGTGTATGTCATATTAAACTATGGATATAGCTAAAGTAAATCAATCTAGCAGTTCCTACCTTTGAAAGTTGTGTTTTTTTTGTCACGTACATATATGTAGTTAAGAACACGTCAAGCTGGACACTTTGAACCGTTGTAACCGAATGCGGTATGCCGCCGCTCTCAACTCCATAAACTTGAATTGAAATCTTACGCGGTTACACACGGTGACTTTTTACAAACGCCGCGCCCCCTAAAGAATGGCACAAAATTTTGGTTGAGAAATAATTCTTACAGTGTATAATGTGAGATGAAGGAATGTCTTCGTGTCCGATTGTAAGTTATTCGCCTTGCCGCTATGGTTTATAGCTCTTTCCTGCATATCGTCAACATAAAATGTTAACAGAACTATTTTGCTTTTAAAATTTTAGTAGGCGTCAATTTTATCATCGATAAGAGAAGTAAAAGTTATTCAAAGTGAAAAAAAATGTTACCTGAGTTTTCTATTCACTTTACAAATTATGTATGTACATAAGATATCTCACATTTAATATAGGTTAGTAGGCATTAGGTACAATAGTTAGTTACTCTTCTAACATTATCGAGGTGAGGTTTTCACGATCGTTACTTACAGGAAACGAAAACATTTTTATTATAAATTGTTTCATCTTTTAAGATTGTACACACTCCTGACTAGACCATTCAATCTATAGTCGGAAAATGGGTCAGCTATTAGCTATTAGCTGTCAGCTGTTAAGGCCCACCTTAAATTATAATAGCTGACCCGATTTACGACTTTTCTTTCTTTTCTACCAAGAAGTATATGCAAGTACCATATTCAAGTACTTACGTACGTATATTATGGTTTTTGAGAGAACTGCTTGTAAAAACACCAAACGTAAAAACAGAAACAGGTTTCTAAGTAAAAAGTTTATAACACTACAAGATGTGATTGCTTTGTTTTATTTTTCACTAAGGTACATAGTTTTATATAATTATTCCATTGATTGATCAGCCCATAAATCAGTAGGCTATTTGAATGTTATGTTATGTAATGAATACTTAAATGTATCCACATTATCTGATCATACCTTAAATTGACGCTCGCAACTGAAGCAAGAAAAATGAAGCTCAATAAAATACTAACAAAACAACGATAAACACCATGTATGTAGGTATATGAGCATAATTACCAAGTTTTTTTTTTATCGAAAACATGTTTTGATTTTGTTTGGATGACGTCTTTTGTTCATTTCGACTCGTGTTGAGACGACGCATCTCCTTGCTTAGTTGCTCACAGTCTCTCAGTCAGACGCGCGTAACGATGTTTTGATTGCATTCGCAAAGATTTGTAAACTAGTCATTATTATTATTATTAACTATTTTTAATCTTGTGTGTAGGTACAGTGAGGGACGAGTCTTTCTGTTTGTAAAAGACAGATAAATAATTATTTAGCAAAATGTGCACAGTAAAGTATTTCGTTGCGTGTTTGTTCATTGGTATTATTGCTGCTCAAAATGGACTGCTTAAGGATAAAGACGCTATTGGATTCCCGGAGCAAGAGGAAAATCAAAAGGCGCAGAATAAAGAGGTGATATTTAAATTTATTTTATGTCTTCAGGGGGATACTGTGAAGTATATTAATCAGTTATCTAACCAAAGCTCATTATACTGATGATATAGGCCAATAAGGTTACGACCTTATTGGCCTCTAATTCTTGTGTAAACAATTTCATAGTTTTCAAATGATATTTGTTGTGCTGTTGTAAGCTTGACACTTAACATTTAAATTAAACTCTATGCCAATTACAATAAAATCGGTCCTAAGTTCCAATTGTCAAGATTGTCGTGCCCTTGACTATACTAGTTTTATTTGTCAATATCATTACATTACGGATGTCAATTTGTAAATGAATAAATAATTGCTTTAATAGATCCAATCAAAACGAGAACCACAATTTAGACTTCTGAAGTTCGACGAGCTTGTGATAGGTTTAATTTTTTCCGACTATCATACATAAGTAATCACTTAGGTACAGTCAGCATCAAAATATTCCCAAATTTCATATATAGGTACAAAGAGGTCAATATTATTAATAAATTCGATGAGCTCGAAATATCTGCATGTTTAAGAAAAATACACCTTATTCAATTCTTTGAATGTGTACATTAAATTGAAAATAAAGAAGTGAGTACTTTTAATAACCGAGTGTTAACTCCACCTAACGTACGCTCTACTGCATGAACTCAGTACTTGTAATAACAAACTTATCTAGGATGAATAGTAATAAGTACTTGAATAATTATACAGAACCGCCAGCCAGTGTACCTGCCGTCAACTTGCCCGGAGAACGAACTCTATTACCCTGGAGACCAGAAAGACGACTGGATTTGCGACTGTCGACCAGGTCAGTAATTACCTCATTGCTTAATTGCCGTAATGTTGTTAGTTCTGTGTAAGTAGAAGACATAAAATATTTCTGATATCAATCAATCAATCAAATAATTTATTGTGTACGCACGTCTATAAGGTACTAATAACTATTAATTTATATACAATCACGTGTAAGTACCCTATTTTTATAAGAGCATTTGTGGTTTTCCCATGATGTATTATTAAAGATGTTGCTAGTTAAGAAAATTAGGTAATTAAGTCAAATAAGTTTTAAGACACGGTTAAAAATTTCCTCAAACGAGCATACGGTAAACAGATTACAGTTGTTTATTTTATAATAAATATATATTAGATAACATCACGCATACGTATAAGTATAAGTATAAGTAGATAAAGCACCTGTGTTATGGAAATCGGAAATAACGACGGTACCACAAACAGCCAGGCCCGTGACAATATCGAAAAGTTAGTTTTCTACACTGAGCCGTTCGGGGACTGAACCCGAACCGAACGGAGATGGCGACACCATGAAAACCGTGTACAAACCACTCGACCTCGGAAGCCGTCAAGTGTTTATAACTATAATATAATAATAATAACGCACACACTCATAGCACCGCACTGGAGAAATCCTGTATTGCGGGTACGACGAACACAAATATAAACATAAAAAGAAGACAACTACAAATTACACCCAAACCCACGAGAGAAATAAATGTAGATCATACTAATATTTATCCCGGCCCGGGAATCGAATCCAGGATCTCTGCGTGGCAGACCAGCAAGGTAACCTTTCGGTCACGGAGGCAGTTAAATAAATAAATAAGTTAATTTGATTACAAACACCCGATTTTTATTCTCTTTTACTCAATATTTACATATTTTAGCAGTTTTGTTGAAAGCATACTTAACAAACAAAAATTATTATGACTCATTTAATTACAGCCAACATTTATCATCCAGCATCAGACAAGTGCTGGCCAGCGTTCCGCAAAGGTCCGTGTAAGGAAGGATTCTACCTTGTTCTACCGCCTAATTCAGTACTCCCTGTCTGCGAAATCAACGTTTGCTACGTTGACGATTACGTCATATGGTTTAATAAATGCGAGAAACTGGGTTCAACGAAACCATGCGAGCATATGTTTCCAACGTCAGCGGCTTTGGGAGTCAACGCAACCACGATGGTCGTAAGCTGTGTGCGACAAGGCCTTTCCTTCGAAAACAGGTTTGGCGATGATGACGATGATGTGAAAAATGGCACTACTACACCAAAAGTGCCTGAAATTCTTTGCCCGCCAGGAAGCAAAAGAAGCTACAACGGAATATGCGTTGCTGAAAGACTACAATAGTATTAGTCGTTTTGTTTTCTTGACTCACAACAGTTAAATAAGTGATCAAGATACTATTTGTACAACTTTCATGAATGAAATATATCTAAATAGTTATTGAATTTATTTTTAATTGCAACTGGAAATATGTTCCGTGGCATTACAGAAAGTTTTACGAGGTAAAAATCTGATCAATATATTGCTTCATTAACGAACAATCAAAGAATGCACCCCTTGAAATTAATCCAAAATGTAACCTTGTGCCGTATGGCACCAACAAGGGAGTTAGCAACCAAGCGAGCGTCATTCTGGTAACCATGACAACTACACGTCTAAAAACCACAATATTATAAGCGTTTATTTACCAATTACTGAACATGAGAGCGGACGGCCGCGCCTGTCAATATTCCTGTCGATAAAAATCACATTAAATAAAGAATATTGTCATTATGAGAGTCTCCATTTTGAATTGAATTTCATGTGGATACAACATGCGACATGAGCATAGAAGGTTAAGGTTAACAGACTGAAAAAATTGTGTGTGTTTAGAAAAAAATCTTCTTGATTAAGGGTGTTGATTCAATGTGGTAAGTCTGGTTACTATTTTTCCGAGATATTTAACTATTCTAAAAGTAGAACAAAATGTAATAAAAGATAAATACAAGAAAACAGAGTGCCTACTTAAATACTCCTTATAAATAGAAAATAAAATAAATTGGACTTATATTCATCACACACATGCATATAGAAAGTTTACATGATTTACTTATGAACTATATAAGAGGTCCTCTGATTTCTGCTATTAATAAACGGTGGATGAAAAATAAAGTAACAATAAAATAGTTCTTGTTAATCCTACATTTTTGACAAATAATAAAAAATAAAAGGTGTAAATAGTACACACCAACAATCTTAACTTGATGTATATAAGAGTGTTTTTTAAATTTTAATCTGTTCTTTTGCGGAAAACTCACATCTACTGTACGTTAAGATGGTTTGGGTTTACCATAGATCAGCTATACTTGCTAAAATATTTGAATGTTGTACGTCAATGGAAGTTGATTAAAATGATCAATCGTGTGAATTAAATATAAGACAAACAGCTCTGACTCACGCAATTTATCGCCCACCCAAGACTATTTAATTTATTACGTAATGGATTAATGTTTTAAGGTAACTTATTTGTAGCAGTAAATGAAGAGTTTTATAAGCATTAACTTACAACTGATATATAGAACTTATAATTTATATAAGGTTAAAAGGGTATGAATATTATAATAATGTTTTACTACCATGATGTTAATTTTTTTCACTAGTTTGTTATAACAAAGATCGAAAACAAAGATTCCTTCGATCTAACAGGATTCGAACCTGTGTCTGTGCCATGCTGGGTTTAACCTGTTTGATTAGTATACCTTCTATCTATCTATCTATCTATCTATCTTTTATTATGCGCACAGCCCTGGAATGGAATTCCCTGCCTGCGTCTGTATTTCCGAATTCATACAACCCGGGTATCTTTAAGGAGCGACTGAATAGGCATCTTCTGGGTAAGCTCGTTCCATCGCAGATCCTATCTTTGCTCCAGAGCTAGGTAGTGGTCAAAAGCAAGTCCATTTAATAAAAACTCTCTCTTTCTACTAATTTTTAAGTTTATTGAACGTCATGATGTTTTACTATCAAGATATTGAATATTTATAATATTAGGTATAACAAAGATAGAAATACCAGAAAAATTTATTCGATTAGGCTGGATTCGGACCAGCACCAATTAAACCACGGAACGAACAGCAGACCTTACGAATATTCCAATGTGCTTATTGCAGATTTTTAGTTTTTAACGACTTTTTTTAGTATATCTACTATAAACCCAAGCAAAACTTGGCAAAAAAGTTCTGTGGCTCCTACACACAACAATATTTATATAACAATATTATACTCTGAACATTTTTTTAATATATTTACTGTGTGTATTTAAATAGATGTGTTAAGTAATTCGTGCATTTTTTACTAATCAAAAGCCCTCATATTTTATTTCATTTTTCAATTTCCTTATCTGTACCTATTTTATAGATTCGTAAAATCTTGAGGGATTTTCAAATTGATTGACCTCGTCGAAATTTCTCTAAGCTCACATAAAACTAGTTTTAGTTAGTTACACGGTGATCATTTAATTTCCATACAATCGCGGCAAATCGCCTTTAATCTGACCCACTTTAGACCACCTGGCCAGCAGTTAGTTTACCGATTATCAGCCGCCACGACCTTCGCCGATTTAACGTAGCTTTACGTCTCGGACCGAATTTCCATTGCCTAATAATTTCTAGAAATAGGACTAATTATAACGTTACCGGAGCCCGTATTTTTGTGAAGTATATATACTTCACAAAAATACGGTATAAAAACATATTTAACAAAAACGATCCTAATCGGCATTGCTCACAGTTTTTACAGGTATAATGAATTTAAGGATCCCCTATCCACTTGAGCTTTTATTAACGAAGCCAAATTACGTGCTTTAAGAATACAAGGTATAAAAAATATTGTGAACCGGCAGAATAATAGTTATAAATGACTCGCATCACATGGAAAAACAACGAAATATTTGAAAAACCTGTGTTGTGGTTAAAATGGTTTAAAAACAACACTAAAATATTTGCTAAATTTCAAGTGCTAATTATCTAGCACTAAGTTAAATAGAATAAATGAAATTAAATATAAATAATATAAAGCCCTTCAACACCTTCCAAACATCAGCAAGAAGGGTGGCTTCGTAGCCTTTATTTAAGTTTTTATTATTATATCAAGTGACGGGACGAAAAAGTCGTGCGCATGGTGGTAAGCGACACGCCTGTCCATGACAGTTGCAGTGTCACTTAGAGCAGCAAAGGCTTTGGGGGCACCACCACTACCTATGTCAACCTGAGACATAAGTCGACAAGTCCCATGTGGCTGTGGCTGTAATTACACCAGCACCCCTAACCCTTCAAAACCGGAACACAGTAATGGTGACATTGCAGCTTGGCGGCAGAAATAGATAGGTAGGGTGGCAGTACTTCCCTGGACGAACTCTTTCACAAGGAGCGCTACTGCTACTAAAAAGCTCGGTGCAGTAGGGGCTCAATGATTCGGTAGCTCAGATAGCGGAAAGATTAAAAATCCATAAGTATCAGGATTTAGACTCCGCCTATCTATTAGCTCCCTTCAAGGTTGTAATCTTAGGTCCCAGTGCCATGTGATTCTAAAAATAATATAAAATAAATTATTAACCGGCTAGAAGATTCAGGGGCTGGCTACCTTGCCCAATGCGTTAGCACAGCCATATTTAGCGGACCTTTGGCTGCCCTATGGCAGAGACCCAATATAGCTGTCCTTGTATTTAAGCAAGTTTGCATTTCGTATCCTTACAAATAAACTGTTTGTTTATTTGTTAGTACGGAAAATTACTGAAATTGCATTTATGTCGTGCTGGATTTTAATCATGATGCAGTTGGTTGAGTAAATGCCGTGATAGAGGACAGGGTCGGGACACGCCCTACTTTCATATCTATTTTAAAGCTAAAGATCCACGGCCTATGTAGGTATTAGCAAATTGACATGACGTCGGATGTGAGCGGGGATAAATATTAGTATGATGGGGACATATATATGTATATGTATGATTAAGACGTGACGAGTAACAGCAATCCACCACGACACAAATGCAATTTCAGTAATTTTCTGTACTTACTATTCACGCATTCTTACCTCTGTCTATCCTATTTTTGTTTGCATAAATAAAAGAAAAAATTGCTGCCTGTTGTTAAAAAATAATTTTTATTTGTCTGTTTTTTCTTTATTTATCCTGTTGTTGTTTTTGTGGTTGGCAGACATTGAAATAATAAAATAATAAATTAATAATTAATTTAAATGGTGATTCTACTGTTTATCGCACGTTCAGCGTAATTTCCGTGTCCGTTAATATAAATATAATTTGAAAGCTAATGAGCATATTAATGAAGCAGTGCCTAACCATAAAAATGTAAACGAAATAAAATACAGGGGTAGTAATTAACAGCAGCCCTTTGTGGTAAAGTATTGGGGCTAGTGGGTCACTAGATCTGGCTAGTGGAAAGCGGGGAAGGGTTTTCTTAATTTTGTTTCCCTAAGTGGGCCATTGCTAAGGTTGCGTGAGAACTTGGGCCCTTTGCGTGTTGTATTAACTTGTATTATGAATGTAACTAATACATTATTTTACTTAGGTCATGTTTGTAGCATTGTAGGACAATGAGTAGGTACCTGATTATTCATGCCTAATACCACGTCATGTAATTAAAATCGAGTTTTTGATGTGTCACTGATTTTTTGCATTTTCCAAGGTTTTATACACTATGCACGCCAAATTTGAGCAACACAAATGAAAGGAAGATCATAAAAGACGCGTTACTGTCCGTACGTGTGTCTGTAACGATTTGGTGATTTTTTTTATTGGTGGATGAACACACGCGCGTTAGACACTCCATATGGCTTTCAGACGCTATAGTATTAAAAATAATAAAAATATGATATCAAGCGACGCATGGACGAACAAGCCGTACGTCTGGTGGTAAGCGATAAGTCGTTTAATAATAATATGTGCCTAAATAAATATTTGGGATAAAGGTCCACACGAAGCAGCGTGTTCACCGAAAATGTGGCTCTTTTCAATACTTATACTTACATAAGTAGTTCAGATTTATTGCATAACTATTTTCCAAGGAATTCTTTTAAAGTAAGTGTGTATAGTAAGCCTACAGGAGAATAAAATTAAGTATTATGTAGTAGGTACGCACAAAAAGTTTTCCTGTTCGTGACTACAAGCTACACTGCTCGAAATATTTAGGTTGTGTTTATTAGCGTAAATAATATTTCATTATTATCAAAGAAATAAAAGTGTAGGTATCCCTTATAGGATAATATACCTACTATATTTGTAGTGTTTTTTTTAATAATATCTAGTGACGGGACGAGCAAGTCATGCGCCTGATGGTAAACTACAGTTACACGCCTGTCCTTAATAGTTGCAGTGTCACTCAGATCTTTAAATCGCAAAGATCTGAGAGACACTGCCACTGCGCCCTTCACCTAGAGATATAAGTTGACAAGTCTCATGTGCCTGTAATTTCACCAGCACCCTTACCCTTACCCTTCAAAACCGGAACACAGTAATGTTGACATTACTGCTGGGCGGCAGAAATAGGTAAGTGGCAATGCTACCCTGAACGACTCTCTAAAGACAGAACAGTAGCAGACAGACTACGAACTCTACTAAAGACAGTTTTGTTTTTATAGTTTTTGTTATACAGGCAATACTTAGAAACGGGATAACCAATTCAATGTGCTGTTACACAATTAATTAGGTTATCTAAGACCTATTTAACGTATTCTTCAAGAATTTATTTTAATTGTGTAGAAAACGCGTTGTGCTTACCAACCTATTTATAACAATGAAATGAAAATTAAGAAGACACATAAGTTGGCATAAATACAAAGTCAATTTCGACAAATTTCTGTAAAATATTTTTATACAGGTATAAGTCCTTTATGTGTACCATATATGTCTAATATGTGTATCATTTCTATGTATATATATAGGACAATCTCCATTTCCAGGATTATATATATATATATATACCTGTTTAAAAATACATTCGTAATAAATTATCGCTTTACATTTAGACATTTCCAAGTTCCTTGAAAGTTTTATCAAACGGGCATCGACGTGCGAAATCATCTTACGCGGCGCGAGTCGCGATCTAAATTATGTTAGTGTGATAATATCAGTTCGCCAAGTCGTAGCCGTGGTCGGGGGCGATGGCGATTGCCGATAATACCGATGCCGTGCTTGAGGCTTACGTCACGCGTTACCAAACTCGTATGTGTATACTTAGAAGCTACGTAATTGGAAAGTTCACACTTTACAATATTTAGAATTGTCGTCCATCAAAAATGTGTAGTGAAGTCTTAATTTTATTTGTTTTTGTCTTACATCTTTTCACTTGCCTATTTCAAAAATAAAAGCACTAAAATTTGAGACAAATATCATTTCTGTATCCACAAAGGAGTAAAATTTGTTATTCTACTAAAAGACTGTAAAGGCATATTTGTTTCACAACGTGGCAATTCAGATTCTGTCCGGTAATCTTATAAATATATAGACGCTATACACTTGAAATTACATTCTCCACGTTTTCGTAAACGAAAATAAATTGCAAACAGAGCTTTCTTATTCGACATGTGTTGAAATTAGTATTATAATGTTGCAGTCCTTTAAACGTCAAGTCACTTTGAATGCGCATACTTAACAAAGTGTGTTGATGACTTTAGTAACATTTGACATTTCATGAGGTCCATCGCGTTTTAGGTTACGGTCAAGGACTGAACATTACTCATAGAGCTTTATGGGCGCAGTTTGTATGTTACATTAATTATATACCTACGTAATATTAAACACTATACTTAAAAACATGAGTAGTTTTAATTTAGATTTTACAATTTGTTTATTTGTATCTAAAGGTTTAAAAAAATCTATGGTTGCCCATACCTACCTATAACTCTATCTGTACCTACACCGCAATGGATTGCAAGGTATATGTGACTGTAATAAATAAAGATACATTGACAGGGAAGAAATGTGTAAAAAACTTAACTTAAAGAGTAACTTCGGTGGCACAGTTTCGAATAAAATTAGAATTCTTTTATGTAGAGTTTGAACGAAACAGTGCCCTGCTTTTGCGCAATAAGTTAATAGATTAGGCGGCGTTGGGCGGATGGGCGGTAGGGCGGGCGCCCTGTGGCCAGCGGGCAGCGCGCGAGCTCGGTCAGTCGGCGGCCTGCGCCCTCTGCGCCCGCCCGCTCCGCGCTGCGAGACCGCCACCTGCCACAAACACATGCCACACACACACACGCGCTAACCTTTGTTATGGACAAGCGCGCTCCGAGCGCCCGGGGCGAGCCCATCCCGAGCATCCTCAAGAAGCCCAAGGGCTGGCGTAAGGGCGACCTCCTCGACAAGAGCACTAAGATCAAACGCGAGAAGGTGGAGGGCTCCAAGAATAAGAATGTGAGCGCGCCGCTGCCGCAGGGCTGCACGCCGCTCATGTACGCCTGTCAGCAGGCCGACTACAAGGCCGTCGTCGAAATACTCAACAAGGATGTGAGTTTCCGTCGCACTCGTAGGATTATGTGCTTCGAATATTTAGTTATAATCATCGATTATAGGAAACATTTTTTACATATGAAATTCATCACATCATTCACACCTAACTCACGATTTTCCAGAGGATTTTGTTATGCTGCAAATAGTGCATGGAACATAAAATCACGTGCATTTGGCGATTACGGAAGCAATGAAATGAGAAAAGCACCGTTTGAAGCAGTTTTAGAGCTCAAAGGCGAGCACGCGAGGTTACGCCGCTCGAGCCTCGATCATCGCCTTGCTTGTAAACAACGCGATGCCGCTGTTTATAATGCCTCCGTCAATATTTTCACACCGTTTATGTCTACCAGTCACACCATGACTAGGCTACTTTATTAGGAATTATAACCCTTTGTTGAGGCAAAGGAGTTTATTTTAATTAATTTAAGAGATATGTATCAGGTAAAATTTTCATCATCAATAATACGAGTGTAGGTACTTAACTTATACGAGTGTACTTACTACCAAAAATTCTTCGGTAAAATTCTATTTTCTGAATTAAATATTACTTCCGCCTCTACCTTTGATCAAAACCTAAAATTTAACACACAGGACAACGAAGTTCTTAAACAGTATAAACAACTTAGCATCTATGTTTACAGAGTTTCAGATTGAAAGGTTTCAAGGAAATGCACCTGAAATAGCGATAGAGGGAGGAGGCCAATCAATAGGTGTAGAATCGGTTGCTATACAATAAGGGACTCTCACACATGTGCGGTGGACGCGATTATCGAAGTCGCCGACAAAACATGTATCGCATAAAACTGTTTACCTCGTTAACTATTATATATACGATGGAGACGTGAATGTGCTCTTGAGGGTTGAGGTTTGCTTAATACATTCATTACTCATTTTCTAGCAGACTTTAGTTTAATCACAATGCCTTTCTCGTGCCACACACCTTTTCTGATAGTATATGTACTAAGTGAATATTCACAATGAGACCTAATTTTCCTCGTACAGTTAATCATCAATCACCTAACTACCTACCTTCTGCCCGTAAATCACGATTTTATGATAAATGCATGAATTTTAAAATTGTATATTGTTCATTCATTACTTACACCTGTCTCGAGTAAAGTGGGTCGATATTTGACTTGCATATAAAACTAGATTTTAAATTATTTACACACCCAACGTAGCCGTAGGAGGTATACGTTTTGCAAAAAAATAGAAAGCTCTACATTCCAAAAAACAAGTACTCACAGGTAGCTAAAATTCCTTTGCATGGAAGTTTAAGCAATTAACTTGTCGGCTATACCGCATATTACTTTCAGTGAACGTAGTGGTTTTAATTCGAAGAATTGTTAACTTCAATATTTTCATTACTCTGAGTCACAATTATCAACTAGGTGTCAATGTTGACAGGGGTAGACAGAAACCTACTTAACGATTGAAATGACTTTGTTAACTCGGGTGTCTTATCTCAGTGTCGTTTAAATCAGGTACTTCGTATTTGCTACGATGCGAATGTTAGAAAATCGGAAAGCGTTGTGTATGTTCAGCATTATTTTTATTTTCTAAAATCGCGAATAAATTTGCGTACAGCCATTATCAGTGCGCATCCGTGATCGCGGATTACGGTGCGCGTTGCACTATTGCGCGTCGAGTGGAGCCGGCGCGAATCAAGCGGCGCGCGCCAACTGCGCGGATCGTGTGCTCATGGCCGCGCCGGTGCTAGCTGACGCCCGCGACGCCGATGGTCTAACGCCGCTTCATCTGGCCGTCGTACACGGGAATGTGCCACTCGTGCAGACCTTACTCGCCGCTGGAGCTGACGTCAACTCTAGAGACGACGAGCACCATACCGTCGTTCATTGGGCTACTGGTAAGTGACGTGAATATCTCCAATTGTTATGCCTTATTGTTTGTTTTCTTACAATATCAAACATCAGCACCGGTATGCCTTGATAGCATGCGCGAAGAAACTACCGCACATATTTTAATAACATCGAAGTGTTGTTAGATAAATATTTTTAATTTTATACCTATACTCTACTGTATAATACTCTTGTAATAAGTGAACACACTTGACACTCTCGAAAAGAGAGACAAGATAACGATGGATGTTACCTATACTCATGGCGTCTCTTGGAGATCCCCACGTTCTTCCTTGTAATATTTTTTACAGAAACATTTTTTAAATTCTCCGTATCTATACGTAGTACGTGAGTACATCAGTAATTATTTGGCGACAATACAAAATTTTTCTAGGACTTACTTATGTCGGTACAATAAAGGTATTATCATATAGTAAAACTTCTTATAGTAAAACAATAGTGCAAAATAATTGCATGCGATTCTGGAATTTGCAATCGAATGGTGTGAGTCGTTATCTAATAGGTGTCATTCAGTGTGCGCTGCGGAGAGGTTGTCGGCGCCATCGCTCTGGCACGCGACCAATTAATTACTTACACCATGTTACCTGTACAGCACACACCTTGTGTCAATCACGGATGAGCTTTACAAAGCCGATATAATCTTGAATTTTTATTTTCTTTGTCTTTGGCTCAGGGAATCTACCTATTAGAGTACCTACACATTCATTTCGGTTATGCACCAATTTCTCATATCAATGTAAATTCGATTTATTTATTTTCAAGGTTTATTTTGGTGTTTAAATTGAATTGGAAAATACTGAGTTGGATGTTCAAACTAGTAGAACAACTTTCTACTAGTTTGGACAGTTTTTGTCAAATTATGTATGTTACATATTTTAAAAACCAATCTATTATTAGGGACACTAATGAATATTCCAGCTAGATTGTGAGTTGTTTCACACGCTTAAATTAGAAAAAAAAAACTAAGTTAGATTTCATAGTAGAGCATAGGTTCTCAAAGTTTTTGACTCATCGCCCACTTAGGCAACATAAAAAAATTTCAACGCCCACTATCACAAAAATTATTGAAAACAAGTGTTTTTTTATTATTAACATAACACAAAAAAAAACCCATGGAAAATAAATTATAGTGTAGTTTATGCATATAATTCAGTTTTTTTTATCAAATGCGGTAGCACCCCCTGGACAGTATCAGCGCCACCCAATTGCTTCCGAGGCCACTATCGCCCCCCTAAGTCCTGTTCGGCGCCCACTGGGAGGCGGTAGCGACCACTTGGGAAACTATGTAGTAGAGCATTGAAGTGGTTACCTCATGATGAAATGAGTGAATTCTGCTGTCTGAAATGTGACTTCTGCTGTCTGAAATGTGTGCTTATGGCGCAAGGCCTAATACTCGGAAACCTTTCCTGCACGACTGAACGAAATATAATATTTTCCATTTAGCCAGCTTAACATACGTGCAGCTTTTTTGTAATCGAGTATTTAAAATTTTACTAGTAAGATAAAGTTGTAATATTAAGCCGGTTCCAATTGCATAAAACTTGTTTTAGTTGGCCCGCCGTTTTAGACTCAACTCACACTGGCGCGGAGTCGAAGCGTCGCGTCGCATCCTGATTTTTAACTACAACGCATGGCGACGCGCGTCGTCGCGCGACGTCGCTCGCATTAGCGCGCCCGGATCACAGTACTGGACCAGTTCAGAGACTTTTGAACATTCGTAAATGGCGCTCGTGCTCGACAGTATACAATGGATATCGATCTTATTATAATTGCTCTTAAATCTGAAGCTGAAGAGGAAGAAACTGAAATTGTATCAGAAGCTGAAGGAGGAACAAGAAAACGGAAATTTCGGGTTCAAGAAAAGACGTATATTTGGCGAATTGAAAACACTTTGTAGTAAGATTTAAGCCGCGACTAAAGATATTTTTATTATTATTATGTTATATAGATATAAATATATATTTTTATTATGGATTAAGTAAACTAATTTGTCGTCTTTATCCATTGTTTCACACTCGTCTCGTCGCAGTTCGGCACTGTGCTATATCTGTTGTGGTCGGTGTCTGACGCGTCACTGCGCGTTAGTAACGCACGGCGACCCACTGCGACGCGCGGCGTCTCACAATACCGTTCGACTTGAACGGCGCGCGCCGTCGCGGGTCGACGCGTCGCGACGCTTCGACCCTGCGTCAGTGTGAGTTGAGCCTTAAAGTTATAAGGGTGTTTTACAGTCTCTGTTTAAAACTTACTTCGAACTATAAGGTGTGGTTCTCGATATTGAAGAATGGTGGATAAGGTTAAAGGTTGCATCAGCGACTGTACAATATAACACTCAAACCAAACGGGTAAACACACGGGACGTACAAGGTAATTTAATGCATGAAGCCATATAGAACGTTACATTACCATATCTTCCAAGGTCTAACGCTTTCCGGCACTGGCGCGGTGCTGAGGAAGTCTTTCTGTAAAGGCCTGACCTTTCCGCTTCCTTCCTTCCTAACCAAAAGTCTTTTTCTACATGTTATGTAATATGTTGTAGTTATTTCTGGCGACAGTGCGGCGATTGTTTCTATACAGGTACTTACCGCTGGTAGGTTCATTGCCCAAATACATTATCGAATGTTTATCGTGATGTAGTAATACGAGTATTTTTGGTTTAATGACATCTAATACCTAGATAATTAATAATAGGTACCAGCACGTAGACTTTCCCCCAAGCAATTTCAATCACTCATGCTCTTTATTTTATTAGTATTATTATAAAATATTATTATCAAGTCGCTGTACTTATCTTTAGGTAAATACGCTAGTGGTTAATGTTTATTGCTTTTGCCTCATGACAAAATACATTTTGATTACCTTAGCAATAGTAGGTAGTCTGGCAAGTCCTAATGTGTATGGGGGTCGGCGATGGCTGCGTTTGATATATTGAGGGTGAGGGTGGTGTCCGGTCGGTATTGAGCGGGCAGCAAGGTTGGGCCCTTGAACTCTCCTTGGATATCTAGGGCTAAGTTGGAACTGGACTGAAAAGGTCACACTTCCGACTGATGACTCGACTAAATGTTAAATGCACGACGATGACCAATTGGCTAACTTGGTTGTGTAGATATTGAGGACTTCTCAATTTGTTCATAGACTGTTATTTACTTGTTGTTCAAGGTTGTAGTTATATTTAATTACAAACCTAATGTTATGATTTTGAAGCTTATAATAAAATATAACTAATTAATTTATCGACAGCGTCGTATAGTTTTTATTACTGATTTTTCAGTGTGTGGAGAAGTAGGTGCTCTGCGGGCAGTATTAGCGGCGGGGGCAGACTCTGCGACCCCGGACCAGCACGGAGGGTATCCGTTGCATTACGCAGCTCAGATGTGCGGTGCTCCGGCTGCTACTGATCACCAAACTCGAGGCGCAGCAGAAGTCCTGAGAGCTTTAGTGAAAGAAGGCGGTGCACGAGTTGATGTACGAGATGCGGATGGACGAACACCTTTGCTTTGGGCGGCATCTGCCGGATCTGCTGCTGCTGTGCTTGCTTTACATCAAGCTGGAGCTAAAGTCGACGATGCTGATAGGTACATAAAGAAACTACGTAATATTATTTTTCCCGCAACAACTATTTCTTCAATTTATCGTACTCAAATCGTGTATTTTATGTATTGTACAGGGATGGTTTGACAGCACTACATTGTGCTGCAGCACGTGGTCATACAGAGGCTCTGGAAACTCTACTTGGATTGTGTGGTGCTCAAGTTGATGTCGCCGATTCGCATGGCTGTACTCCTCTGCATTACGCCGCAGCTTTGGGTCATGCAGACTCGACTGCTGCTTTGTTGCAGCACGGTGCCGATGCTCATCGCCAGGACAGAAGGGGGCGAAGTCCAGCACATACTGCCGCTGCTAAAGGGCAAATCGAGACTATTCGAATTCTCGGTAAATTAAGCTTAAAGATAGATTTTAGATTACAATTTTGTATGTATTTTAGTGAGTATATGTAATTTTCTTATGTATTTTTATTAAAGGCGCAAGAGGAGCAAATTTATGGCTTAGGAACTCCAAAGGCGATCTACCACTGCATGAAGCAGTCGCTTCAGGACGACGAGAGCTGGTTAAATGGCTTTTAGATGGAAGGCCGTCTCAAGTCAATGCAACTAATCATGAAGGGCGCACTCCACTCCACATTGCAGCAGCAACAGATAATGCCGACCTATGTCGTCTCTTATTAGATCGCGGAGCGGAAGTCAACTCCGTTGCAAGATCATCTAAAAATGAACCGCTAACTCCTTTAGATTGTGCAGCAAGTCGTGGTCACCGATCAACGGCTAAGTACATTCAAATGCATGGTGGTCTTCCCGCTTCAAAATTAGCAAATACTCAAATTATAATTGACGGTGCGCAGATCACTGCTTTACCAACACGTCGTGTTACCAGTACAAAAATAGATGTACGAGACAAAATAAGAATAGAGAAACGCGAGGTTGTGGAGCTGTCAAGTCCTCTTCAAGAAAGACGCCGCATAAAAGATAGAAACGACAGCGATACAACAAGTTCATCATCTCCTGACAGACGCGGAAGGAAGCGATCAGATAATAAATACTCTGATAAATACCATGATCGCAGAAAAAGGTTGATGGAATCTCAGAAAAGCTTTAGTGATGGCTATGATACAGAACTGGAGGGATACGAGAGAGATTCTTACGATAGAAAACATAGGAAAGGTTCGAAGAAAAGCAGGTCAAAAAGCGAACCAAGTGAAAGTAGGCGAAGTAAAAGTAGTGCAAAACAACATCGTTATCGATCTAGTTCTGAATCGTCCCAAGGTAGTGAAAGTTATTCCGAGAGAAAGAAGAGTAAATCCCATAGAAAGCGGAGCAAAAGGAGAACTACTTTCACAACAGAAAGTAGTGATACGGAGTCAAGTGAGAGGCGAAGTACAAAGCGCAAGGGCAAAAAAACGTCCATTCATATTGAGAACGATGACGAAAAACAAAGTGTAAATATTGTGAAATATAAAGGCACAGATAATGAACCTAGTGTGACCGAAGGAAACGAAATTGACGCAAGAATCAATGAAGTTGAAGTCATGAAAGCAGATACTGATAAAGAAGACAATCAACTGATAAAAAGTAAAACACTAAGCGAAACAGAAACTGATACACTTTCTGTCAAAACCAACATGATTGTTACGGAAGCATTAATTCACATGGAACGTGAATCGAGTAAGCAAGGTAGTTCGGAAATAACGGTGAATATAGATTCTTCAAATAATGTATCAATAGAAACAGCTAATTTGTCGGTTATGCATAAAGACTTGTCAGAAGAATCTAAATCTGGCATAGAAAAAGCTGAAATCGAAGATGTGAATAAGGAAGATCAGACTTCGGATTTTACAAGAGCAAATTCTCAAAAACAAGAAAATGCCCCTAAAATACTGCCAGACACTAGTACTTCTACATTGGATGAAAACAAAGTCAGTGAAGAAGCGGAGACAGAGAAAACAACAGTAGAAATCACAGAGGGGATTCCAACAGCTGTCGAGACAGTTAAAGATGATATAAGCAAAGAATCTGAAGGTAGTCTACTCCCAGGAGAAGGAAAATTAAACGAATCATCGTCAAATACTCTTGAAAGATCTAGAAAAAGATCCTTCCAAGTTCTATCTGGCCCAGAAGATAACGATAAAGAAATGACTATAGCAAGCACAGATGCAGACGATAAAACGACGGATTTACAAGATAAAAGTGGTTCACCAACAGTGTCTTTTGCAAACAAAGACGAGATATTCGAGAGTAAGGATTCTAGTAAGATTACCGATTTAATGGGCGAGGAAGTAGATCATAGCTTAGTAGGACCTCAAACAGGTGACAATTTTGATAATTCACAAAATGACAGCAGCAATATAGTTACATCAGAAGAAAAACGCAAAGACTATGCCTCCACTACCGGTAGCAGTACAGAAGCAACACAGAATGGCGAGAAAGGTCTTGTCACTATAATTGATGGTCATGTTTTACCAAGCGATCGTGCTGTACAGCAAGTTATTATGGAAAATTTGTCGGAAGATTACGACGTAAATTTGCCACTTGCTCAAGCTTCACCTAAACGAGTCAGGAAAACTTCAAAGGAAAGTCAAATAAGTAGCAGAAAGAGCAGTATTTATGAGACTGAAAGTTATAAGGTTCTATCAGACATAGCCAGTGCACCTGATACTGGAAGTTCTGGAATTCTTAAGAAAGTTTCGAAATTAGACGTAGCCGTAGGTTCGCTGGAAGATGAAAACGATCCCTTTGAAAATAAACTTGCGAAAGAAGGCTTTATTGGCAGAGTTCCGAGTGTAAGTGATAATGAAATTTACAGCCATTCTGAGGTCAATGGCCGCCGTAAAAGATTCCGGAAAAAAGGTAGGACCAAAAGCCGAACTACGATTAGATCTAAAAGTGAAAATTCCGAAAGAGGATACGAGTCGAGTGGTTTGATGGATTCAGGTTTTGAACCAAGTCCCAGAGCAATGCAACGTCGTATTATGAGCCCTCGCCTTGCAGCTTATTATCAGCAAAGAAACGCAAGCGGAAGGTTTTCTGGCAAGTCAGATTCTCGTATACCTGTACGAAAACCAGGGGACAAAAATGCGGTTGATATGAAATCGGTAACGCAACGCATTCAAACCAATATGAGGAGGTAAGAATTTTTGTTTTAGTGTCGTCATATGCCTAGTGGTAAGGTAAGGTAGCTAATTTGTAACTTATTAAATTATTAAATATTACTAGTGTTGTATTGTTCTTATTACAGGTATTACTGCGAAAGGAAGATTTTCCAACATTTACTGGAACTAAAGCGATTACAAATAAGAACCAGCAAAGCAAACGAGGCCGTGTTGGTGAAAAGAGCAATAGATGAGTACAATACATCTAGTCTATCAAACGTCGGATTGGGCCCTTACAATAACCCAGATTTTTCCTTCAGTAGCTTCGAAAAATTTCTGTATGAAAGCTTAAGAAAGTTACAAAAAAGTGGGAAGAAACATTTAGAAAATCTCCCACTTAAATCTTTAGACTTTGACTACGGGGAAAGTGAGCTGTATAAAATGTCGGCCATTCCAGATAATCCTTGTCTTTGTACAAGCAAAACACACCGGTGTTTTCATGCTGTTCATGCTTACACCGGTGTACCTTGTTCTGCATATAGTAAGTATACAATTATACTACGCTTTATGAATTTATTATTACATAATGTTTTCTCATATCGTCATGAATTTGCAGTACCGTACAAGTGGGACCACCATACTATGCCGAAGCCAGCGACTGCCGGACCAAGTACGAAGTCAAAAGGATTTTTGCCGAAGATAAATTCCAAACCCCCGCCAGGCAAAGCACATGTAACTTTAGAAGTATCTCATGGTACAGAGAGACAGCTTATTGCTTTGCCAGCAGAGAAACTTGATAAGAACAAAAGATATTACGTGACTTTCACTGTTAAAGGTTCAGAACCTCCTTCGGACAATGACAATGCGTCACCGAAAATTACAACCAATGTGAAAAGCGGCTAATATACTTCTATAGCTTTCTTCAAAGCTGCGGCCAATATCAACCAGGCGCGTTTCACTGCCAGATTTTGGTAATCACATTGTTCTAATACCTTATCGAAATATTTTTTTATTATTTATTTGCAGAAATATAATTATAATATTATTTACTGTATTTACATAATTCGACTGAAAGAGTCCGTCCAAACAACTTAGAATCAATCCCTATTTTTCTAAACATGTAAAAGGTAAAAATATATATTTGAATTTCAGATTATGAGAATTTATCTTAAATATTTGTATACTGCTATTAATAATATTAATCCTATTTCTAATCTATCATTATGTAGTCTTCCTTGAAATTATACTGAAATCGCACATAAATACTGTTTCAACAATCATAGTACAATTTTGTCTCAAAGTAATAAAAGCACGAAAATGCTAAATGTTAAAGATACTCAATTATGTAGATTTTATAAATAAATTATAAAGATAACGTTTGTATTATTAAAATCAAGTTGTATAAATCAACGACACGCTGCGTGCAGAACAAATTTATTGCATTTAAAATTACATAATTAAAATTACATCAAATAGATTACATCATTTATTAATTAAAGCGTCATAGCGAAAGCGAATAACCCCTGCTGCATTCACGGCAATGTGCCGAAATTTGAAGAACTGCAATTTAGGTACCCAACAGCAGAGCGACACCGGCAAGCGTCCAGCGTGTCGGCTTGTCTTTTGTCTTCAAGTTGAAGGTCCACACGAATGTGGGTCCACGCATTCTGTAGTAATTGAAACTCGGTGTTAATACAAGCTAGATACGTACATAAATATAGATACTATAACGATAGTTTAGCAAGCGCACCCCATAAAAATATGGATACCAACTAATAAAACTCAACAACTTTAAAGACTCGATCTAGACATTCATATGAAGCGTTGCTGTTAGTCAGCTTCTAGATCAATTATAAAGTTTCAAACTCAAAATTTTCATCCAAATACTGTTTACGTTCAATATGAGTATTTAACACAATAAAATATTTTCTAAAGTTTCAAACACCTTGGTTGTTAGAAAAAACTAGTTACTTTATAGTTTTATGTACAAATGTAGGTTATTGTTAGAATAACTATGAAATTTAATAATTTGACACTGGAATGTTTATAGACTAAAGGTATTCTGCTCACACACTCGAACAACAGCTGATGTGAGTAAATATCAAATACATAACGCGCGATCCGAAACTGCCTTTTTTCCGAGTATGTTGCAGATGGGCATTGTATCGATTCCGGTTTGAATTAAAATCAGCACCCTGATCTGGTAAAACTATCCTCTTAATACAATAGCTTTATCCCACTTAATGTGTAGCTATACAGGGTGTCCCGGGACGCGACGTCAAGCCGGAACGGGGTGATAGGCCAGGTCATAACTGTTATCAGAAAAATAAAAAATAAAATCTATGTCATGTATTTTAAAAATTATGACCATTTTGAAAAAAATCGAAAAATATACACCCTGTGACGCATTTTCACTTCCCGTTTCTACAAATTTCCACTTTATTTTAATTTTTTTATTATTTTGTAACCCTGAGTAATGCTCCTGTAGCTAGTCGTCTAAAATTTTGACACAACTGCTCTAATTTTGAAAAAAAATGACACATTATTCCCATATCAAAAGAGAAATTGAATTTTCGTTCAATTTCAACTCACTCTACCGAAAAAAAATGTACTACACTGGTTGGGCAAGTAGCTTTAAGCTTAAGCTTAAGTTGGCGCATTTTAAGAGGATTCCAAAATGGTATTACACTTGCTACTTTATTTCTTAGATTATGGTCAAATAATTTTTTTTGTGAACAAAACCGGTTTTCAACTATTTTTTATTTCTTAATTTAAATTTATTTAGTGTACCCAATCCTTCGCTCGGAACGGTAACTATGACATAATTCTTAACGGTAACTATGAGAGAGACGGAGAGAGCTATTCTACGAAGTGTGAGTGAGATAGAGAGTGACGCCGCTAATGTGTGAGATTCATAATTCTAGTATGAGAGAGACGGAGAGAGCTTTTCTACGAAGTGTGAGTGAGATAGAGAGTGACGCCGCTAATTTAAATTAATGGCATCATTATTTTTTTCTTTGAGCTTAGGATAGTTCCATTAAATAAAAAATCTATTTAAGTAAAATTATGATTTTATTTAAATTACAGCAAATGTTCAAAATGCTTTCCTTCAGCTGCAATACACGCCCGACATCTTTTGAGAAATGATCGGGATATTAAACGGGCGAATCTTCCGTTATTAACAAATTCTCCTGCTTCTGCTATTCTCGCACGTAGCTCCGCCAAGTCTTCTATTGGTTTATGGTAAACTTTTTCTTTCATTGCTCCCCACTAAAAGAAATCGAGTGGATTTAAATCTGGAGAACGGGCTGGCCACGAGATTGTGCCAGACCGTCCTATCCACCTGCCCGGGTATTCCTCATCGAGGTATGCTCTAACTGAGCGGGCATAATGCGCCGGGCAGCCATCTTGCTGGTACCACATATCTCTGTAAATGTTTAATGGTACGTCTTCCAGTAAATTTGGCAATTGATTTTGTAGAAAATCTAAATAAATTTCGCTATCCAAGTTCTCTGGCAACTCATAGGGCCCAATGATTTTCCCATTTAAAATCCCTGTCCACATGCAAATTTTTATATATATTTTAGTCCTTATAACCAAAGTATAGTATCGAGTACCTACTTTGATTTTCGCGTTTGTTACACATAGGAAATCGGACCGAATTTAAATCGCATTTACTTATTTGTTTATTTAAACAAACCGTGTCAGCCAGTGAGCATAAAAGTATAATATCATTGGTGTCAGCCGTGACCGAACGTTGATGTGTTTGAAAAAACACGCAATTTAGATCCGAAAAAAATAGTTTCATTTCCAAAGTATAGTATTTATAGAGTTAAACCTAGTATATATAGTATAGTATTTATAGCGTCAATTCATCGTGTACGTCAATCCCGAAGATCGAAATAGGCAATTGAAAAAACATGGGCGACTGACCGAATTTTGTAGACGGGGCATTCGTAAATATTGCGCGTGTCCTGCTTGTCTTGTGTGACGGCCTTCACGTAGATGACGGGCATCATGGGGAACAGCTCCATCATGCGTGACTCCACGATTCCGCCGGTGGCAGTATCCCAGCGAGCGCCCTCCATAAACAGACCAGCGATATTCGCACCTTCACGTGGCGGAGCACTGGTGGGCATTCATTTGGTTTTATATTATTTAAAATTAGGTAAACATACGTTAATAAAGCTACTAACCTAACTAATATATAAATAAAATAAATAAATAAATACTAAAAAGTAGCCTAATGGTTTGACCTACCACCTTTCAAGCAGAGGCACTTCAGAGTTTCTCGGAATTTACCATGAGGTTTCCGGTGAAGGAAAACATCGTGATGAAACCTTCACGTCGAAGATTCCCAACCCGCATTGGGCCAGCGTAGGCAACTATGGTATATAGACGCAAAGGCCTTTCTATAGGTGTTTTCATAATTTTTATATCTTATTTCGTTTCGGACATATAAAATCGAACACCGGTCGATCTGATATCCACAGCGAAGAACAACTAACAAAATAAAGAATGTTCTGAGAATAAGCAGTCCTGCACACAGGCCTTTGTTCTACGGATGAGTGGATAGCAGTGTAAGAAGGCAGCTTTTATGTTGTAAAGTTAGCTCACTTGAAATCCCCTCGGTTTTTTTTGGTGACGTCGCAATTGAGGCACATCTTGTCGAGTGGCCATTCGTTCTTTCGCGCAGTCTGTTGCATAATGGCAGTCAGGAAAGACTGCGGGTTGAAGAAACCAGCCAGCCACACCGCGGGCGGCAACTGAGTGGTCCCAAAATGAATTAGGGCAATTGGAGTTTAATGTTAGAGGCTAGATAAAGGTCCTGACTATGTTTCAACACAAACAAACTGGTCAATTTATTCTTACTTACCTTCAACTAATATTAGACAGCATGTAAGTAAATAAAAGAAAAAGTTTACTTCCTATTCCGTAGTGTGGGAGATCATTCTCTAGCGAGCGAACGTTTGGAATAAGTTGTATAGATATATATTTATTGCTCACACACAAGAACACCAATACTACATGAACAACTAAGAACTAACGCGGGCCAAAGGGGGTCTTGTCGTTAAGTGCAATCTGTTCCAGACAATCTTTGAGGCAGAGGAAAGCTAAACAGAGCAGGAGACGTGGTGTGCCAAAGGTATTTGAATCCACCTACATTATATTATTATGGTTCAAACTTTGAGTAACGATTTGTTTGGTGCAATGTAACGTCGCCTTACAGTGAAAACTTAAGTTCCGCATTTTTATATAGTTTATTTTTACTGATTTTTGTTCAAGTAATTAAAAAAAGTTATATCTCTTGCTTAAATATAGATATTATTAAAAGAATATAGCAACTGAAATAGGTATAATCACCCTAATTAAAATAATCTTGACTGAATGGATAAATAAGATGTTAGTGGACGGTATAAATTAATTCGTAAAAAAACGAAACATATTTAATCACAAAAATTAGCGACACGTGAGGCGGCGGTTTCGTGATCGATGTGCTTTTTTCTTTTTATCTTATTAGCCACGGCCTGCGCGTTCCGCGGGCAGTGTTGCTATGGCTGTGCTAGACAAAAATGCTAACTACAAAGAAACATTATTGTGTTTTCTATATTTCACACCACATTTTTGTCTCCATACTGATAAATTACGACACATACGAGTTATTCACTCTAAGCCAACTAAAAGGGAATATAGTTAAAATTAGCACACTTATGACTGAAGATTAAGTAGGTAAGCATAATACGTACATTGAAATCACCAGCCCAGTTTTCAAGCTCGCTAAGCCGCTGGCACAGGTCAGAGAACCAACCGAGCAAGCCCAACAGGCTAGGGTAGGCCAGCTTAGTCCACGATTCGGGCACATGATCCATGAAAAGCGACTCCATCAGGTTTTCCATGTCACTGCTTATTGTCAGCTCACCCTGAAGATGTTTGGTAAATAAATAAACGTGACACACAAAGTCAAAGACAAATTTATTTTGTTTAATTATTCAACTGGGAAATGAACTCTAAGAATCCAAGGTCATTTTTTTTTATTCACAAGTAAAAATATTACAAAAAAAGAAACACAAAAAACGAATAATGTAGTCAGTCTCTAAAATCCAACAAACAGCCTCACATCTATAAAATATAAATTTATGTTCAAGTAATAAGAGCGAAAATAGCGCTGTGCGTTTTGTGCGTGCAGAAGCGAAACGCGCAAGGTATTTTTCGGTGATATTGTTTTATATCCATGCAATTTAAAGTTGTATATAATGCAATACTATATAATGCAATACTATAGAATGCAAAGTTTTTCTGACCGACTCAAGGCGATTCCGTGTGAATAAATGTGGTAAGTCCCTTATAATAATCACCTAAGTGTAATTTCTATTTTTGAACTAATTTAAATAATTAATAACCTTAAGGCCAAGTTCAAGTTCCTTTAGCGATCTGCGAATCTCGCCCATGAGCCGGTTCATGCGCTCGCACTCCTGCAGCGCAACGATTGTGAATGGCGTCAGCTCTTCGACCTTCGCCATCAACTCCGGAATATTGAACGGCTCCGGAACTCGATCCATAATCTCGTCTAGCAATATTCGTACCTAAAAATTGAGTAAAATTTTATTCTACTATATTATATAACTCGTATGCGTTGAACTGCCGGGCACATCTCGAGGAAATAGGCTATGAATGAAAAGTGAAATACTTTCCTTTAAAATATCTTTCTTTATAATTTATGAACTTAATATGAAATTATTTATTTAAAATAATTTTAATCAATTTTATAGCCGTTTTTTAATTTAATTAGTTTTGGTAAATTTAGTCCAATGCATGTTTGTAATTCTTAAATTGGAATACACACAAGAACAATACTACATGTAATATCTAGAATAATCATATATGTGTCATTTAGTTGGTTTGCCAATAAATAAATAAAAATATCATAACAAACGCAATGTTAGGCTGATTATACACGGTGCTGTAGTAGTAGTCGCCTTTGTGCACACACAAGTTCATACATCCATTGCGCGGGTGTTACTTGATATCGCAGCGATACGGCGCGAGCACTACCGCAATTTTCTACTAATGTTCGATTTTAGTTGATCGCGCCGTATGGGCTGCAGTCGCGCCGCAACAGAAAGCCACCGCCGCGATGACATGTGTAATCAGCTTGTATTCTATAATGTCATCGTCGTTTCGGAAAAAATAGCGAAGCAAATAAAGCCGTACAGTTTCTTCCTTCGTTGCCCCACCGCCGGCTTGTGCACCGGTATCTCGAGGTTGCATTTCGTATACCACCTGCAAGTAGAAAATATATCTTTTATAAGCATTTTGGTTCATTAGGACCAAATAAGTGTCACGAATCACCTTGAAAAGTCTCTCTGAGACAGTAGTGAGGTAACCAATCTCGGCGTTAGGATGCAGGCCATAGAGGTAGGGAGACTCGTCAGGCAGGAAATCGTCGATGTACTGATGGTAGCCTGTGTAGTCCGAGTTCGGTGGCGAAATGAACCCAGGGGCTAGTTGGCACTCGCCATCCACCTGCAGCAAGAAATTTGTTTAGGTCGCAAAAACACGAAAATTTCCCCGGGCTAGTCATTTTTGTTACATAGTTTTTAAATTTTTAAAATAACATTATAGACTTACGACAAGAGTATAACATATATGGAGATATTACAATATGTATTGTATTTACTTGAATTTGCATTGCAGAATAAAATGTCTGATTCTAAACCGAATATTGGGTTAGCTAACCATATGTAGTACTAAGTTGCAACGGTTGCGCTTGTAAGATGCATAATCCACTAGTTCGTTATTTTAACATCACCTCTTAGTTCAGTGAAATTTTTGAAAACCAAATTGTTTGTTTAAAACATAATACATTAAACTATTTTTTCTGATAAAAATCGCATATTGGTTTATACAAACAAACCAATGTTTCGGGCCCTTTACAGATCATGGTCACTGCTGACTGATGATCAATGGTCGGAAAAAGGTGTTCCACATATATAGATATATATATAAAACCACCATACTGTCGCCTTACTTTCTCTAACTCGCATCTTAAAGCACAAAGTAACTGAAATGCAAAAAATGGATTGTATATATCGCACTTGACAACTAACATAGTATTATTTCAAAAATTGCGTTATATTATATTTTATCACAAAATTTGCTTTACACTAATAATTTATCTCCAAAATATCGCTATATAGATGTGTCATTCATATACGATTTAATTTTAAAGTGACAGGACAACACTGTCGCTTTGAAACTAAATAGGTAATATTAATATAATTTAAAGCCATTTTGAGGTAACACTATGTTAGTTGTCAAGTGCGATATACAAATTTTGCATGTAGATTTGACATCACATTTACTTCATATTCACACACTGGCTTTCACCTATTCTTAAAGTAATGCATCCAAATTAACGCAATTGATAAGAAATTTTAAATAAATAGAAAGTTTTTGCCATCTCCTGTTTAATCACTCTTTATAAGACACAAGTTTGAAAAAGTAAGGCGTAATCGTAAAGTAATCGATATATTAATTACTTTTTTCGAATTCCGGATTTTCGGAAATGGTTTTACTGCATCGTAGGAAGTCGGAGTTGGATTTTAAAGTAATTCTAATGGTGCCATGTAAAAAATGCAGGAGATTACTGACCTTTTACCAAAGCATAGAATAAAAAGTAACGAGAATGCGCCCCTCCCTAGCTTTAGATCTAAAAACTCAATATCTATTCACTATAGATTGTTGGATAATGGGCCTAAGACCAGATATCGAAGTGGTAAGGAGCCTGTAACTCATGTTAAATATTTAGAGCCAACAGATATTTTGTAAAAGCAGTTGAAAATTTTGAACAATGAAATGAACTGGGCCACAGTCTTTGATACAACTTACACTATAGAGTTCAAAAGCAATTGCATCAGTAAGAAGATTATGTGGCATACCAATTCACTCTGCATGTATTCAAGCAGGAAGGTCCGGCAAAGTCTGCGATCCCAATCGTCGGTGATATGTCCGCCGTACATGATCTCGCCGAATAAATACCGCAGATCCTCCCATGGCACCCTCGGGTTAGCTTCTAGATAGTTGTACAATACGTACACACATATTGTTAGGTCGCCGAAGTTGAATGGATATGATCTGTATGGTAATGGTTAATTTATTGATATTAATAGGTTAATTAATTGATATTAATTCAAGTTTTTCTTGTTATTCTTAAACAATAAGATTGTTATTATTGTGTGGCCAAGCTTCAGTCTATTTTACATAAAAAAATTTGAACCTAAAATATTTTTCATTTATATAAACAATCTTAGTCCCGTTTGACCATTTTGGAGCACTCTATACGTATACCAGACGGTGTGGGGTGATCTGCATAATAAGCTGTGTCAAGTGATTTAGCCGAAATACTAAAAACACTAGTAACTTACACACGGTACTTAAACCGGAAAAATTTAATGTTGCCAATTAATTAATCACGCACTATTGAGTATGATAAAAAATTCACTCATTAGTAAGTATGTTTTTTCTTAAATTGAGTTTTGCAATAAATACACAGAGGAAATAAAAGATGGAACCTGTTCCAACCCTGCGGACCGAACTTGCGTCTCTCGGCCACAACAGCATGGAAGTAACACAGCGCGAACAATATAGATTTGAACTCGGCCTCTTTGCTACACATCTCTAGCGTTTCTTGATTAAAGTTGTCCAGGGACTAACAACAAATGTCAAAAAAATATATTCATTTGTTATATTTCGTTAACAAAATCAGTTTCTTAAAATAAAACCTCGTCACTCCGCTTTTGAACGAAATCCCTTTTTTACTCTTCTAGACAATTTCTTAGATTGTGATATAATTATTTATAGTAATTGTTTTTAGTGCCTACTCAAAGTTCTTATTAATAAACGATAGGTTACGAGGTTTACGAATTTGGCTGACGATATATGTATACTTGAGTTAGGCAGGAATACTTAATGACTTCTCAAGTAAGAGTATTGCATCTGCAAGCTGTATTTAGAGAAATAAAATTGTCGTTTAAGTATCATTAAAACTAATTCTGTAAAATGTTCATGTATTTCTATTATAATTATTTTTTACATTCATGGGATTATTACTATTTTTCTATTTACTATTTGTACAGATTTTTGAATTACGCATTAGAAATTAAGACACTTTCGAATAGGCAAATTCAAATAATCTGAATCTGCTGGTATTTCTGCTGGGCATTTTTGTAATTAAAACTAAATGCGTAGTTGCTTGGTGGAATAGTTCAAAAACGCGAGTCCATTCCGGAACTATTGCTAGCTATGGTTGCTAGATATGCGGAGCTATGTGAATTTGTAAGCTATGTAAGGAATGCAAAGCATAGTTTTCAACAAACAATGTTTACAGTTGCCATCAAAATCTTGCAACGGTTTAATGGGTAGTCCATTATCCGCCTATATAGGGACTAAAGAGTATGCAATAATAATATGGAAATGTGTACCTTGTGAAGGTTAGCCCACATGCCAATTGGAGGTTCGTTCGTAATCTTGATTGCAGATTCCAGAACGCCTTGTGGGATTATATGGTACTCTGCCGATGGGGGCGGCTCAGCGCTCAAAAACAACCTAATCCAAATACATTGTCATGAAAACTAAAATTACCTCTCATCTAACATAACGTATGTTAACATCTATAATTACAAGGAAATCTAAAACTTGTCGGTGGAGTAATCACTAAAGCATCTCTGTTCACCGCCCTAACTTTTCAGTTCCTAATGAGACAAATTATAATTTGTTTTCCTTATCTGATCCAAATAACTTCGTTTAGGTCTCAGTCTGCCTCTCTTTCCTTAATTATTTTCTTCTGTGCTTCTAAAGTGCTAATGCTTCTAAAGAACTGTCGTGACACATATCATGCCCATTTTCCCCACCGGTTCTATATTCTCTTTTCCTTCACTATAGGTAGTACGGTCTGAATAAGACACACCGCTAATTGCGTTAAATTTTATTTATAACCTTGGAGAATTAGCGCCATCTATCCTATTTTAACAATCTATCGACGATTTGCACTTAACCTCTCCAGAAAGAATATTTTTCCAATTTAACTTTAACCTACACACCTGTAGTCTGGATGAGGATGTTCGAACGTTTCTTCTTGTTTCTTCTCAAGCGTGGCAAGCCATTTGGCTACCAAATGAATGTTCTGCAAGATAACCCAATGTCCATTTACAGCAGAAACTCCCATAGCTTCTTCTGCGACAACTTCTTGACCTTGTCCCAAAGATACAATATGGAAAGTCTTCTTATCAGTTGAGAAGCCTAGTTTACGTCCTAGTTTTTCTAAATCCTGGAACAGTGTTATGATAATTAATTAACTCTATTCAATTTTCAATACGCACGCACGTTCTAACT